TGGAGTAGGCTTTGTCATGAACTGGTCTGTGTTGTGGAACCACGTAATCTTCTAGGTAGGCGGTTACACAGAGGAATGTACCGCCTCCATTTGCTCCTCTGAAACTTTGGTAACATGTCTACATTTTCACTGCTGTAGAAACCTTTGATCTCATACTTAGCAGTCCGAAGACCAACTGTAGAAATACATTGTACAATTAAAAGTCAGCTTCAGTGTTCTTTGAAAGAAAGAGCATTTGTTTAACTATATTAATTACATGCTCCCAGTCAGCGTTAGTACTTACAAGGGTAAAGTGGTATTGAACTTCATCTGAGAGTCTGTATCTGGCTCAGCAGTGCTGTAGCTGGTGGCACTTGTTTCGGTGCTTGAGGACGTGGGTCGAGCCCGCGGACGAGATCGAGGTTGGTACTGTTGATTTCTTGCCATTCCTTCCATCGCTACCTCTTCTGCGTATGGGTCTGTTCGTGTCGTGGCAGGCGTGCCGTCCGTTCCCATATACGCATGCTGATCTGGCGCCATGCACAAAACAGGCACATCAGTGATTCTGTGTTTTAGGGAGGACGCCACAGCAATGCTCGCTGTCGCACCACGTGTGAGCTAGCAAATGCTGGTGGCAAGGATATTTTTATCACTGCCCTAAATGCACAGGCGAGTGTTATTTGCTAAGCGGCTACTAGATTTGAGTAGTAGCTCTTGACGTCTGGTTTCACGTACTGAGGTGTAAAGTGGCAATGGCCAGGGTGGAGACTTCTGTCGTTAACACAATGTCAAGTCTAAGACTAGATCTGTATAATTAATTCCAATGAGCAAAATCTGTCTTTAGAAACTAATAATGTGCTCAGCCAGTCAAGAAATCCCCTGCCCTTTGGAATCTGAAGATTCCTTGCCATATTCTTAATAGCCTACTACTGGTCCCTATTCTGAGCTAGATGAATGCAACACACACACCCAACATTATTACCTATGGTCCACTTTAATATTATCCTCCTGCCTGTGCCTAGAGTTTGTTCAGCGCCACGAAACGACTCCTACGTTACGGGTTTACCGCGTGCCATACTCTAGAGCTGATGTTAGGTTCGGTTCCCACGTCACTGTTACATACTTGCCCCAAATCGTTCATCGTAAAAGTTGCGTTGCTGGTAGTTGATGTTTCTGTGTTGCCACGCCATCGGCGTTCGAGGGTCGCCATGATCCAGTGGCCGTGGTCTTGGAGCTCCTGACTGTCTTCGCTCCATATTACACGTCACTAAATCTGAAACTGAATTTAATGACATTTCATTAAAATTACTTAGATTCGTAATTCATTTTGTTTCTAATGAACTAATTATCTTCCAGTATGCATTTTTCCTAGCCATTTTCCCATGAATGCATTTGGCATTCCTCAGTCACACCAAATACCTACACTTGTATAACTTCTTTTCCAAAGATGAAGCCCACAGGTTCTTCAGAAACACCGATAACCTCATACACGACTGTACGGTGTTAAAACCCAGACGATCAGGTGTACTACTGACGGCATTGTCTGCATTTTCGTGCAGTTTAATCTATTTGCCATGCTCATGGCAAATGTGGTAGATGCATACATTTTATTCGGTATTCATTGTACCACTTTGGAGTCCTATGCCTAGACGGATATAATATTAAAGTAGATGTTAAATAAATAGGATGTGGACTGGATTTATCTAGCTTAGGATAGGGTTCAGTGACAGGCTTCTGTGAACATGGCAATGAACTTTCGAGCTCCAAAGAAGGAAGGGGAATTTTTCGATCAGCCAAGCTACTGTCAGCTTATCAAGGACTGTGCCGCATGCTGTTAGTAACGTTTAAGGAGAGATCTGTTACTAAAGTTCTAGAAGAGGTGCTCGTGATATTTCACCCAGTTTCTGTCCACTGGCTTTGTTCACCTTCGTTGTCTCTCTCTCTCTCTCTCTCTCTGCTGCGTAACTGAATTCCACGACCTTCCGGTCGTTAACCCCAAGAGTACACTTCGCTCTCACGTCACCATTCGTACCCAAATTAACATTTTGCAACATTCTCATTGTGTACTGATTTACTTTTGGCCGACACGATAGGAAGTCCATACCTTTTCATAGATTTCTGAAGGGGTGACGATTTTCGTCTCGGTAGACTGCACGAAATTTTTAGGTCTGGATGTCCGCCAGCAACATTATAGCGTCGTTCTTCAATTTGTTCAACCTTTTCCAGACCTAGGGTTACATTCGCCATTGCTTAACGAATCGGTGCTTCAGGCTGAAAATCGTGACAGAATGCTTCTCCGAAACGTCCGTATCTACCTACGAGTCGACACGGCGTTGCAACCCAGAAAGTCGTGATATCGACGGTAGGGACCGTGGGTCGGGTCACCTGTTCGAGTTTGTTTCAAACTTTTGGTGCACTTTCATATTCTCAAAATAACTACCGAATGTGTTGATCGTGTCTTCGGGATTGTGACACCGTGTCAAAGAGAATTTTCCGTCCGTTTAGATAAGTTCATTCTCAGGGACTCTCTGTCTTTGGGGAAATACGTGACCTGGATCGTCCTTTCACTTATCTTCACATTCCAGCGCTGAAGCCGTGACCGCGCTCAAATCATATGCGAGGAGAGCATTTAGCAGTTGTGCAGTGTTGGATCAAGGACGTGGACCGTCGTCAACTGGGACATTAAATTTTCTTTCAGCAAGACAATAGCGAATTAGCTTCATTCAATCTGTGAAAAGCTTTCACCGTGAAAGCCTGACAGACTTTCCCGGTATCGAAGAATGTCCAAAAAAAAGATATGTTGTAATTTCCTTTAGAACTCAAATAGCAGCAATTGCCTGCCTTGAAAAAGTTCAGTTTCAATCAAATATTGCTATTCGTATTTTGCCCTGGTCAGCCAGTAGATTTCGCCATCAAAACTATGTATGCATTTCCTGTTTCCCCAAATCTGTCGTAATGCCCGTCGGTTAACTATCTTGGCATCGTTTCCTCGTTTGCTTAATCTTTATTGGAAGTGGATATTTCTCGTTCTTTCGTGGTGGTAGCATGATGCTGTGTTTTGCAATTAAAATCATAGCCCAAGGTTTTAATAATTATTACTGTGTTTTCGGTGTGTAGGCCTTCGTCTGTTTCAGGTTCTTCGTTACAAACAGCGCTTCCTTTGTGGTGGTACGCAGAAGAACAAAGGTCGTCAAAACATATTAAATTGCCGGACATAACCTCAAATTACCAGCCCTCCATTTTTCTAAATTAAAACAGAGGCACTGATCAGAAGCAATAAGAAGGAAGTTGGTTGCTGTTGTTATTTTGGCGTTATAGAATGTGAAAATAGTAACCTCTACTCCATTGTATTCTGTTAACGCGAGAGTGACTTAACGCACAAACGATGAAAAAACGAAGACGCCTATAACCGTCCGGCCACCACAGGAAATTTTTTGAGACTTCGTTCCTCAACAACGTCTCAACTGTAAAAATGGAACAGGCATTTACAAGGATGATTTATTAATTTTTAGAGAATTTGCTTACACCTTTGTTATAACCTGTATACTGTGTATTTCAGACTCGTACGTAAGGCTTTGCACGGAATCGATTTGAGGCATAGGAACCAGTTACTCAAGGCAGAGGCGTGGTCAGATCATTTGTTCATGTATCTGAAACCGATTCATCGCGTTCATCTTACTCTTAGCCTGATGATGGAGGCAGCAAGCGCCTTTGAAACGTTGGTAAACTTTACCACAATACACGGCTCTGCAACCCAGAAGATATCCTCCTTTGAAATAAGTTAGTGGTTACTATAGCAGGTGGTGCACATAGTTACCCCTAGCCTTTAAAGGGTTATCATTTATAGTCGTAAGACTTTTGTTCAAATAGGGTGCTATATTATAGATACCAGCAATGCGCAACATTGATCAGTCAGATGCCACATATTAGCAAATGGAACTATATCTGTGAACGAAATTTGCATAAATTCGCAAAAAAATTAAATGTTTCGATGAAATATATACACAAGATAAAACTGGATAATTGTTCATATCACTTGATTTATAAATTGCAAATGCCAAAAGGAATGAAAAAAGCCTTTTTGTAATGCGATTATTTTAGGTTACGATCTGAAATCATATTCACACCCAAAAGTCTGTTAGATCTATGGTTCCTTACTCACCTTCTGCTACTTCTCTCACAGCACAGACGTAGTCAACATTAAGGTTAGTGTGTGTCCTTCTAGTAAAGAGCTAGGCACACGGATTTATACAACTCATTCACACGCAAGGATTTAGTTTTTCCTTCTACGGATTCTACAGATAACATGAACACTTCCGTAGCCAGCTTTCTTCTCGCAACTCCGCCGTTACTCCTTGCATCATCGTTCTCAAGACGGATTCATTGGGTACAGTCATTGTGAGGGGAAGGAAGGGACAAGCAAGAATTTACCGTGAGGCAGCTGTAACGGACTGGACTGGACTGGACTGCAGGCAACCTACAGGTTACAGAATTCTCCTGTGCTAGACGGATCTATGGGGTACAGTTGTGAGTAAGCTCCCAGTGACCAGTGTTATTTTAGGGAGTAATTTTCTAGACCAGCTCCTGGCAAAACCGCGTAAGATCATTGTGTGAACGACGATGATATCGTTGATAAAAAATGCACGTAAACCACGAACGTCGTAGGTTGACCTCTTAATGCTATGCTCAGATCAAGATATAAGATATGTTAATGACAGGAAAGGAACGAACTTATTAAAAAACAGTTTGAGCTGGACGTTTTAAAATCAGTCACTGGCTTTCAGTACAATCTCCCAAGGGTCAGGGCACCAAATTTAAAGCGACAGAATCTTTGGGCGGAAGAGTCAAAATAGTTTACTCATATTCACCAACAACGTAGCCGATCATTATATATAGTGGTCAAATGCGTGCTGCTGTTCTCCATGCTCCTTCATGGCATGCTCTTAAGGTAGAACATTACATTTACGTCGAAGTTGTTCATTGTCTGATACCCATGTTGAAATTGCTTTACATCCTCATATTGTTCTTTTTACTCGAATGGTAGTTTGGCAGTCCGTGAGATCCTCATAAATGCAAATCATTGTAAATGCCACTTGAAATATGTAGAATATATCGCGTTTAAAGTACGCAAGACCAATTCTAAGACCTATGGATAATGCGCAATTTTACGCGAATGAACTGGCACGCTTTGTCTCTTACATCCAGTACTCTTCTGCAGTCAATACGGTGTTGTAGTGGAACAGTTGAGGCTAGGAATATGAAAATGTCGAAACTGTTGTTATTCTTGACGTTGTAACGTAAATTATATAAGAAAAGTATCGTATGTGACTTTTTAGAATATTTATCGCACCCGAAAGCGTTGAAGAGTAAGTTACAATAGTAGAAGGTATACGCACGAACTTTTAAATATAGTTGTGGAGGTCAGCAGAGTTGTGAAATAAAGGTAGATTTTATATTTTTGTTTGTAGTGTATTTATATAGGTCGTTTTACTTCGTCGAGTAGAGTATGTCACCCGTATGAATGCACGTTTATTGGTCAAAAGGATAGTTCCAAGAAACTCGTAACTATCATTAGTATTTGTTACAGTTTTCTCATAATTACTGGCCGCATTTGGTCTCAGTATGGTATGTCATTTGAAATTGTGACATGGCCCATAGAAAATAGTATTTTATGTATTTAAGTTGATTAATAATTTATGTTTAATTTTTGGGCAAAAAAGAAACTTGAGTAGATTGTTTCATTTTTCTGCTGTTTGAAGAATGTGAACTGTGTTTTACTTGTAAATTTGTGGATTGTAATTGCAGGAAATTTTGTGCAGAAAAGAGGCTTCTATCAAAGATAATTCTTTTCTTTTCTACATAATATGCATAAATTGTATCTTAGGTGTGTTTATAGTGTATGTTTATGTACTTTTATTGATTATAATGGTGAGAAGTTTGAGACCTGCTGCTGGTTGGTTAGATGTAAGGTTCTCATGGTGAATGTGAAGATGGCAGCTATCTAGGACCTTTTACTATGTAGTCTCAAGGTCTATAGTCTGTCAGACGCAGCATTCCAGAAGGCAGTTATCTTGCCGCTGGTTTCTTCATATTGACGAAAGTTTGCTCATGTAGTATACTATTGCAGAATGTTGATGTGTGTTATTTAAGATGTCTGGAGAGGAGTATGAGTCTGATATGGAGTACTCTGATGATGACTGCTGTTATGAGGATTATTACAACAACGAAGAAGATTATGACGCGGAGCAGTTGGATCCGAGCAAAACAGATCCTGAGTACTTTGTATATGAATGCCTTACTGTTGAAGAAGTTGAACGACTCCTAAATGAATCAGTTGAAATATTGAGCAATACTCTACAGGTGAGCTGAAATGTGAAATACTGTGAATCCCCAGAGTAGCGCTTGTAAGTAGTCACTAGTTTTGTTATTTAAAGATTAGGTTATTCTGTTTGGTGCATGGGTGATACTAACTTTTTGGTAGTAGATCCTAAACTTGGATAGCACTAACGCAGAAGACCGATAACTGTATACGGTTCTGACGACGGTATGTTATGATTAGTATTAATGGGTTTCTGGACCTATTCATTGTCTGGTACGCTGAACAGGACAGATCATGAATACTTCTGTTACCGTGGGAAGTGGTGGGGAGTTCATACTCATATTTTCTTAGCCAGTAACTGTTTACTTCAAAAAATGCCACACTTCTGAACCAAATGATACACAGTTTTTATTATGTTTTGTTTAATATTTCCCGTAACTGCTTTATCCCACGCTGCACCGTTCATTGTCAGGATTGCATACCGAACTGATTCTGTTCTGAATTCTTGAATCGTGTCTTCTGCCCTCATCATCTTTTGTCCTTACAGTTGTTTAGTGCTGTTGCCTTTGAGAAGCGTGGGGCTTTGCATTAAAGTTAAAGAAGAACTGGGAAAACTGGATAATAAATAACGATATGGATTGTGAAGTATTTTGTTTGTTTGGTTGTTTTATAAATCCAACACTGATAGTGATTAATGTTACTTCACTAAAATCTTTTCTCTGGTTTTGCATGAGTTTCCTCAGTTCTTTCAGGTAGATACCATATTGCAGTGATATTTCTTGTTTTCATGGTGATGGGTATCAAGATGGGATGTTGTACCATGTACTGACTGATGTTTTTGAGGTGTTTCTACCTCCATCATCATTTCTGATTCTCTTCAGGAAAGTGCCAGGATAGAGTAAAATGATTTTCTTCTGGTTTTATTGTTTCTAGATAACACCGTCATTAGCAAAAGTCCTTCTACATGCTCATGAATGGGCAATACAAGATATTATTTTTAAGTACCGTGGAGATTCGTGCAGACTGTTGGTGTTGTCGAAAATAAAGCCGCCTCACCCTCCAGAACCGGCTGCCTCTGGGCACCTGCGGTATCAGGTGTGTCCAGTTTGTGTGGCATCACAGAATACTGACA